ATCGACTTGGCCATGGACTTGCTGCGAGATTGAGCTCAAAGACATCCAAAATCATTTGACGTCCATAGTCAAGTCATATTAAACACCGAGTTCCTGCGTGTCGTTACCATAGAGTATCAGTCGCTCAAACTTATGGGTAACAAGTACACGATTCCAGAATATATGCTCGAGTGGGTCATAGGAATATCACCGAGTGTCGGGAGAAAATCATGGGAGGGTTGTATACATATGTACATTCCATCGTGCATCAATAAGCACTATGTTACGTTGGAGATCGTTTTTGCTGACACGACTATACATGTGTACGACCCAGATCATTCATATTTGACACAAGGCCAATTGGAGCAAAACCTGGAGTCCGTAGCTGTAATTGTTCTTATGATGGCCAGACAAGCGATGATGACTGTACAGGACAGATTGCGAATTGTTCGGAACACGACACATCGTGACAGTCCGTAAGGTAAGTGTTTGAACTTTGTTGTTTTCATCTTTCAGATTTAGTTTTTTAGCTGCACAGTACTGAATCGATCCATTCTTGTTCAATTGTAGCGGCGACTGCGGCATATTTGCCATTAAGTACATTGAATTTTTAAGTATAGGACATAAGGTTGATGGAATCAGCCAATTGTGGATACAGAACTGGAGAAAGAATGTAGCATGTGATTTGTTCGAATTTAATGGTGATCCGTAAATTTGTATTAAATATATGTAACATTGGAATTATAAATTTAATTATTTTTTGTGATTATGAAACAATTGTAAATTTGTGTTTAATGTATATAACATTCACATTGTAAATTTAATTATTTTTTTATTATGAAATAATTGTAAATTTGTGTTCAATGTATATAATTATTTTTCTGTAAGTTGATTTTTTGTTATTTTACACATATGCTGAGAATGGAACTAATTTTTTCATATGAATCATTATAAATACCATTTATCAAGAATAAATATTGAACATTTATGAAGAACAAATATTGAACAGTGTAAAGTAAAGGGAAATATTATTCATTTAACGTACCTGTCTAATTGTCATTTAGGGAAATTTGACTGGTACAAAATTGTCGATTATGCCCTATGGCTCTGCACCTACCACACCTACGCGGTCAATAAAACTCTCTGGTAGATGGTATTTTAGATGTACTTGGACGTCCAGGACCACGCGGTTCAACTGTTGGTGGCAACAAATTATGAAACGGGAGAATGTGCTGTGGAACTTCCCACTTGGCATTCGGCAGAAATATAGTCTCAGCATATGCTGTTCTCCAAGACTCAGTCGTATAATACAAAGAGCATAACGTTCTCGCTGCAAAGCCTCGATACATGGCCACCGCAACTGCATGCTCACATGGAAAACTCTCCAACTGAAATCTCGTACAAGTGCATGTGTCATCAGTCAAGTCCACCATATATGGCGTATTACGTGCACATTGCACGGAAAAGTGAAACTCATCTAGTACTTTCACATTCAACTTCCTCGCAACCTCTGCCGCCTTAAAGAATTTTTCCTCTTGAGCTGGGGCCAGCACGCTAGTGCAACTTTGTGATGCCGCACGTCGGTCATGAAATCATTGTTGCAGCTTGTTACGAATATACTCAATCATTTGTGAGAATTGGTAACTCTCGATCATTCTTAAACAATGTATTGAGAGACTCCACGTTATTCGATATCATCATGTTGTATCGACGTCCTGGAAAGTATGACCGCGCCCAATGTTCGATCCCCTTGTTCGTCAGATACTCCAATGCCGGTAATGATTTACTTCCTATCTCGAATATGAACTTATTACACTCTTCAGCACTGTAAGTTTCAGCTGCTCTTCTGAACAATGAAACGATGCCTTTGTCCTGATACCTAGTCTTCAAATTACTTGTATATGGTACATGTAATACCCGTGATGTGCCTCTGGAAAAACTTCAGTGATACCGTTTATTATAGACTGTACCCGATCGGTTACAAAGGCAAGGTCTTCGACTTCCCTGATCACTTCCCTTAGTTTCGAAAAGAACCAACACATGGACAGATCATTCTCGCTGTCGACTTGCTGAATGCAATAGGGTAAATTTGGATGTTGGCGTCTTGACATATAGCAATAATTAATTTTTCTTGATATTTAGCTTTCAAAGTTGTACCATCAACTAGAATTACGGGTCGCATTGCATTTTGAAAATCCCAAATACATTGTCCGAGAGTCATGAAGAAATACTTAAAACAATTATCGCCCCCCGTCTCATTAAAAAATGACATGCCAGGATTAATTGTCCCCATGTTATGGCAATACCTGGCCAATTTAGCATAGCTCTCTTCAGCTGATCCCATTAAATCCTCCAACGCACATTCTTTGGCCTTCCAGGCTTTCTAGTAGCTCATGACCACTCCATACTCTCGACGGACGTCGATAATGATGTCTGAAGGTCTGTAGATTGTCCGTGGGTCCTGATACTTGTGCATTATCTGTCGACCAATAAACCATGCTCGAGCTTGCCTGTGATCGTTTCGAAGAATTCTCACTTCACAAGTATATTCCCGTGAATACTTGCGAATTACGAAACACTCATTAGTGTCCATCTTAGTTGCTCTCAAACGCCAATTGCAACTGTCTTTGACGCAGGCAACTGTCAACAATGACTTGTTTGATTTCTTTACTTTGAACTCAAATTTATATTTAATGCCAGACGGTGCACAGCTTCCTGCAAATCTTTCTTGGTTTCAAACATTTGTTCGACATACAAGTCCTCATCATCGGGAGCCACACGGGAAGAATTGGAGGACGGTCCACTTGTTCCAACCTGTGAGCTCCCACCCGGCTCATGTCTCTGTAGGGATAAAGCAGTCAAATTCTCATTTGTAAACTCATTTATATTCTCATTGTCTTCAACTGTTGATGGAATTCTGCGCGTAACAGCGACATCACGATCAGAAGCAATTGTTTCAGGAATAACCACATCATCCGCAGGAACTATCTCCACTGTCTCCCAAAAACCTCGATCATTGTTATCCGCCCTATCTGAATTTTCGCGTTGACCTTCGATAACATCCTTCTTAATTAAAGTCACACCAAGAACTGTCGGAGTCCGATGCATTTTATTCAATTCTAATAGATAATTCAATTCAGCATCATTAGTAACGAATACCGGTGGCATCGAATGGATGAATCCCCATAACTGTTAAATAGATATCTCAATTGCATATCGTATTGAGATTAATCGACATTTAGCTTATTTTGCAAATCGTGGTACATTTCTGACTATGATGTACTCTCTATTATGGGAATTGCAATACAACCATATATGTCACTCGTCCATCTCCATTCCCACCGATTATTTTCATTCAATTCGAAATCACCGAAATAACAGACGGGGATTATCATATCTGCATGAGGAAATAGATTTAATCAACTTCATTTATTAATTATAAGAAAAAATCGTTGCCAACAAAAATCAGTGCCAACAGTCGGCTGTTAAACGGCCAAACCATCAGCTGTTTAACAGCTGACAGTCGGCTGTTTAACAGTTGACTGTTTAGCTATTTAACAGCCAATAGTCAACCAACTGTTTGGCTGTTAAACAGCCAAACAGCCGACTGTTTGGCTGTTTTGCACATGAATTTTTTTCTACGATTCTAAAGAATAAAATTATAGACCTGTTCAATTTTTTTTTTATATTTTATAGGTAAGATCTGTTAAAAAAAATTTATAATAACTATTATTATATCGAAATAAAATTTCTCTATTCAAACGTATACTAATTTACTGAAAACGAAATTAAACATGCGTAAATATACTTATCGATTTGAAGTAATTGATATGAAAAAAAATTTCGACTTAAGCGTTTGAACTTTTTTGAGATGTTGAGGTTCAAATAGATGAAAGATGAGAGTTTTTTCTGTCTTGGAAGCTCATTTTGAAGTTTTATAAGTGGAGAAGTGTTTGGTTTTCAATTATTAACTAAAAGGGTAGTAAAGTCCTTTTAACAATACATTGTTTTGTAATTGTATAATATATTTAAAGACATCTTTATTTTTTATTATTCAAGAGGTCAATGTGATAATATTCATAATTTTCAAAGTCAAAGTGATATTTTAAACCTTTTTTTTTTTTTTTTTTTAAAATGATATCATATTATTACTTTATGCCTCTCAAGTCAAATGATTTCATCCATATCTTGCTGTCAACAACAAAGCTCACGCGTTGACTGAAAGTTTCCTCGCACAGACAAAGATAAGCCACTCTCGGACAGGACAACTTTAGCATGGGATTCCACCAAACTTCTATTCAAAGAGAAGAATTTATTTATTTAAATGTTAACATATATGTGAAATATTTATTTTTGATAAAAACTTAATTGGATGCAATTTTTATAAATAGGTATTTAAAGTGAAAACATTTAAATCTCAGACAAGGGCTTTGGTATGTTTAATTTCAAAATAATTACTTATCTTGACACCATGCTATTTAAAGCGAAAACATTTAAATCTCTAAAATCATGTTTAGAATTGTCAGCAACAATTTCACTTCGTTTGTTCATTTAGATTCAAATAATATGACTAAACTTGGTTTCGTGATTCAAAATCACATGCTCTATTCTTCATAGCTTCAAACCCCATCTGGTCCACACTATGCGCATGTTTGAGTCTTCTTTTTGAATTTCATGTAATATTATTTTATTAAAAATGAGAAAGAAAAATGTATTTTATAAATAATGGAATCAAACAAAGGCTATATTTGCTCATATGATTACAGTCAAAAGTGTAACATTTTATTTCCGAGCCTTTTCATTTTGAATCAAAAAGATATATATATATAAAATCACAATTTATATAGTTAGTGTTGATCTTTACTAAAATCCTACCGGTGACTCGTTATATACAAATTAAAGTTTGAATTTTCAGCCATCAGAATTCTCGAAGCCGACTTTGCTTACTTTCTCCAGGCATGCAAAAAAGTTGACTTTAACTTTCTGTGCATATAAATATGGACACAGTATCTTTGCTTAACCATCAACACAAACATTATCTAGAAATATCAGTTCTGGAATTCTGTATCCTATCTCGTTAGTAAAACAATTAAAGAAAAACCAAGCTTAATTCTTTCTGTCGGGTTCTCTCATTATCAGATAAAAAATAGAGGGTTTTTCTGCAATGGGGAATTGTTACTTTAAACAAATGTCAATTGCATTGTTTTTCTTGCTTGCCGTTCCTGCCACTGTGGTTCTAGGCCAGGGAACATGGGTTGGATTCTATTCAAGGTCTTGTCCCAGGGCCGAATCCATCGTGCAATCTGCAGTGAGATCCGGGTTTAATTCGAATCCCACAGTTGCACCTGGATTGCTCAGAATGCACTTTCATGACTGTTTCGTACAAGGTTGTGATGGCTCTATCCTTACTAATGGTGACGACGCAGAGAAAATGGCTGGACCAAATCGTTTGCTGAGAGGATATGAAGTTATTGATGACGCTAAGACTCAACTTGAGTCTGCATGCCCTGGTGTTGTTTCTTGTGCTGACATTCTTGCTCTTGCAGCTCGCGATGCAGTTGTATTGGTAAGTTAATTTCTCCATTCATTTTTGGGATTTTACCATTTGCATAGGGAAATTTACAGGTGCTGGCACAGTGGCACCTGACTTGCTATTTTAACTATATTTTTTGTCCAAAATCTAATGAAATGATGTCATGTGACATTCTATAAAAATCTATGTAAATTTTCCATGTACATATATCATTGTTCTCATTTTTTAATAATCATTAGCTAGTAGAGATAGGACACGCCCGATGACGTGTCAGTACCATGAACTATTGGTGCCTTATGTGTTGTACATGGACATGCTATACATATTCTAGGACAAGTGTATGTATTTCACCCTTAAGGCAATACGACGTGTAAGTGTCTAATACAAGTTAGATATGGATACAGACACAAACATATTTGGTACTTAGATGTCCATAATTTACTCATCCTTCTAATTGGCTATTGGATTGTTGATGTAGTCTGGTGGACCAGGATGGCCAGTGCCTACCGGCAGGAGAGATGGGAGGGTTTCATTAGCGTCCGATGCTTCGAATCTTCCGGGCTTTACGGATTCCATTGATGTTCAAAAACAGAAGTTTGCAGCAAAAGGTCTCAATACTCAAGATCTTGTCACCCTTGTCGGTAAGCACACAATTTGCAGAAAGTGAAGAAGAGTATTACGAAATGTTGTTTTCTATATTCTATAGTCTATAATTTTATGTCGAAATAGTCATGGAAAAATCCAAAGTTGATGAGCTAAAGCGACCGAATCCCGATTTTTAAGTGGCCTTTTTTTAATTTTATATAGAATTAAGTCTAACTCAAAACATCTTTGCATGAATATGTAGGGGGACACACCATTGGCACCTCAGCTTGCCAGTTCTTCAGATACAGATTATACAACTTCAATTCAACTACCGGCGCTGACCCTTCCATTGACACCGCATTTCTTCCTCAACTTCGGTCCCTTTGTCCGGAAGACGGCGACTCTTCCAAGAGGGTAGGGCTCGATGACAGAAGTGAAAACCGGTTCGATAACTCGTTTTTCGCCAACCTGAGGAATGGCCGGGGAATTCTTGAATCAGACCAGAAGTTATGGACTGATGACTCAACAAAAACATTTGTGCAACGTTTCTTGGGAATTAGAGGACTGCTTGGATTGACATTTAGTGCTGAATTTGGGAAGTCCATGGTTAAAATGAGTAATATTGAGGTTAAGACAGGGACGAATGGTGAAATTCGAAAAGTATGTTCTGCCATTAATTGATGGGAATTCAGGTCTATTTTATTAGGTTATGGACTTTGTGTAAGTGTGTTCATATCAGCGTAAGCTGGTATCTTATCTATTGTTTGTATTCTTCGAAATAAATTGAAAATAATAAACCAGTAATTTCCATGTTTTGCTCCACTCACATTGAGCATTTGTTTCATTCGATACACTTTACAAGATTTTTCACGATAGTTGATTGAAGGATTTCATCAAAAGTTACAAGGTGATAAGGGTGAATTTGTTTATTAAAATTCTAATCTTCAAATTTCGCCACACATGTATGGTGGATTCAGATTTATTTATTTATTTATTTATTATTATTATTTTTTATCGAAGACTCGATGCATACAATGTCATAAATAGTAAGTGAGAAAACTTGAACATGAGTAATTTGTTTGGTCTTCTAGCACAAATTCTCGACGCGAAATATAGTTCCAAAGTACTTGAAAGACTCATATATAGTCAATCAAGATGGTGGTAAGACCCTTGCCAAGTTCCCTAGCAACATATAGCTTGGGAAGCTCGAATCCGATCAAGATTCAAACAAGAAGGAGCACTTCAAATATTGAATATACTCATCTAATAATAAACTTTTAGTCACAATATTTCAAAATTAATGAAAATTTAGTGAGTTCACTTAATTTTTACCATTTTTCTAATTATTAGTATATCGAATGCATCCTAAAGGTGGGAATATTGTACGTACATTATTTATATGCTTATTTATTCTGTAATTAATTGCCAAGATAATATCATATTAATAGAAAATATGGGATTTGATTAGATAACAAAATTATTACGATTTGGTAAAGTGGAACAGTGAAATTTACTAAATGCACCCTGCATTTACGATGTATTTAAAATTTAAATAAAATATTTTGTAAAATTACGTTTGAATTATTGCTAACCTAAAAAAAAAAAAAACACACACACACACACACATTTTGCAGGAAAAAGTTGAAATATTAACTTGGCACTATAAATGGCTAAACATACCAAAGTATGCATAATTTAAAATAATAATAATAATAACAAATCATACTCTATGTTATACATTACTTAAACACTTTATCATTTATTATTCTTCAAAATTGTATTTTGGATAACTCTTTCATCTGAAAAATGAACTTTTCTTTCTTACATCTATCTTTCTCGAAAATTAGTTTTATATCAATTCAAGCATTTTCAGTACATTATTAAATTCATTTTTTCCAGTTTCATTCAATACACAGAACTATGTAATTTTATAACACATAAATATATACGTTTATCAGTAACATTTATCATTATCTTCTATTCTTTTTCGTTAAAAAAAAGTGCTTCAAAAAAAAATGTATGAATTCTAGAAAATTTGTTAAATTACAAAATAATATAAAATTATAACCTAAACTTAAAATAAATGAGAAATTTATATTAAGACGCAAAATAATAAATAGTATCATACACTATTTTACACGATTTCTAACAAAAAATTATTTATTGAACATAACTTATTTAGCTTGTGTTTGGTGGAGATAAAAATCAAATATTTGGTAGAATTGGATAAAAGTTGATGAAATATATAGTTGAAAAGTTGAGGATCCCATGAAATATGTGATTAAAATTAATTTTTGAAATAATTTAACAATATATATTTTGGAACAATTTTTTAAGCATTGACATATTGTTCGATGATTGATTCAAGTATTAATCCAATCTTCTAGAGGTTTACTGGACCATTCGGAGACCTTTATACTCACTTGCAAGTGGTAAGCTGACGATGACTTTGTCACTATACCAACCTTTCGACGTTTCCAAAGTTTGAGCGTGTAGTGCTGGATACACGCTTCAACTACCCCATAGCCATTCTAGGAAGAAAAGCCGAGTCAACTCGTCTTAATTAAGCGGAGTCACTATCCTTACCGAAAGACTATTTGTGTATGAAAATGGGGCTGTTCCAAAATGACATGGACTTGTAGCTGGATGATTTCTAGTGAATTATAAATTGATGTTATCGAGGAAAACAAAGGGATCGAATATGTTTATAATGATTCTAGTGAAAATGATAAGATGATGAATAACACAAATTCCATTCTTATATGCAAAAATATGTACAACGGTTGAGCATTAATTTCCTTGTATATTTAGATGATATGCTTGTAACTAGTCGATACTTGAAGGAAAAGTATTGTTCGAACGTGAGGAGGTACAACCAATGTGTATATACCTTTTCTTTTCTATGATTATATTTATTTTGGACATTGGACTGATGATTTCAAGGATATTCTATTTCGATCGGAACAACTTATACGGATCCCTTCCATCCGTTTTTCATTTCTCATGAAATATCCTTCACTATTTTACTAAAAATTGAACGAACGAGAATGAACGAGATATGATCCGTTCGTAGAACAATTTACTCATATTATATTTATAGCATCAATGTGTTTATTTTAATCATAACAAGCTGAAATTGTCGTCCTTGATGGTCGCAATGAAGATACGCGGGCTAATTACTTTGTTGAGTTATTGCAGAGGAACCATTCAAGGAAAACTCGAGTTGATGACAGCGATTATGTGAAAGATTCAGCTCATGCTGCAAAGGATCACAATTCTACTAGGCCTTTGAATCCCGCCTTCATCGTTGTGCAAACATTTCATATCTAACTACACAAAACAGAGAAAAAATCATTTTCTGAACAATTTTTGTCAACCATTGTACATAATAGGTAAGGGCAGGCTGAGTACATTGGTTAGGTTTAAGCCTTTATCCACTTAGATGAATGAATTTGAAATTTCTAAGGCTTCCTATTTTATTAATTTTTTTTTTCTCTCTCTAGCAAACAGTTAGGAAAGTATTTATTCCCAAGCGATAGGGCTTGGAGTTTAGATTGGAAGAAATTATTTAAGGGGTGCCGAATACTCAAACTGAGGATGATCTTGATTTAGATGATAGCTATTTTTTACGAACTATTTTTTGAGAAGAAATCTTAAATAATTAATTTTAAAAAAGCAATATATATATAGAAAAAAAAAAAGAAACCTAATTAAAAATGGAAACAAACACTAAAATATGGTAAAATGTTGTTGACCTCGGAAATTGGGCCCTCCACCTGGCCAATCGATAGCCACTCCACGTATTCCTCCCTACGCACAATCAACGCACAGTCAGATGCACACGGCCAGAACCAATGGGGGTGGCGACGATCGTATACACTCTGACGGTCAAGTTAGGTTCAGGTGATCGGAACAGTACCAATGTTATGCAAAATAGTGGGGAGGAGAATATATATTCGCTTACTATGGAGTGCTAAGTAGTAAGAGTTTCATTATCTTTGCCTCTTGCCAAGCCTTGGGTATTTATAGGTGAGGAGAACAGTTGGATGTGGGACACGTGTATACATTTGAACGGCATGAGGCGTCTGCTCATAGGTGTCAATCAGCCACGTCTATAGAGTGGATGGGTAATTACTTCTTCCGAGTTGAGTTGACATAAAGTTGATACGTCACATTAACTAGGCTCATGAAGACGTCAAATCAATTGAATCTTGGGGACAGAAAGGATCTTGACATAGATCTCTTTCTGAAATTGACGACAGATCCTCTAGCAGAGAACTTCGGCTTGAACTGCACTTCGACTTCGGGCGCGAGGGCGCCTCAGTCAGTTCGGTAGATTGTCTGTGTCTTGCGGTGTGCTAGCAGATGGTGGCTCCACTTCTGAACAACTTCAGATCGATGTTTCACACCTCGTACGACGTGGTTGTAGAATTTCGTAAGTGTTTCAGATGGAGGCGTAATAGTGGTCCCCCCAAGTTCAGGTATGAATATTTATATCATGGGTGAACTTGTTTTCTCGATCGAATATGTCCGCTTTGGGATGGGGACCACGATTTATGAGGGCTTATGGGTTGATTTTCTGTGTTCACCGAAGCGTTGACCACAGGCAGACGCGCTAAAGATTTATTACTGTGTAAGGGAAGAACTTATCCGAGGCTGATGTGTTGCCAATTGGACGATGCGTTAGGAGATGGGATAAAGCTTTGTAACGCAGCTTCCGAGGCGATGACCCACAGGGGGGCTCCGCATTAGATGCATCTAAGCTTTGTAAAGCTGTGTGAAGAGATCTGCCACTGGTGCGTTGACCCACAGGGGACGACGCGTTGGGAGATGGCTAAAGTTTTGTAAAGCTTAGGAGGGAATGCAACTTTTGAGGCGATGATCCACAGAGAGGCTCCGCATCAGATGCGTCTAAGATTTGTAAAACTGTGTGAAGAGCTCATCTGCCACTAGTGCGTTGACCCACAGGGGACAACGCGTTGGGAGATGACTAAAGCTTTGTAAAGGTTAAGAAAGAATGTAGCTTTTGAGACGATGACCCATAGGGGGGCTTCGCATCAGATGCGTCAAAGCTTTGTAAAGCTGTGTGAAGAGCTCATCTGCCATCGGTGCGTTGACCCACAGGGGACGACGTGTTGGGAGAAGGCTAAAGCTTTGTAAAGTTTAGGAGGGAACACAGCTTCTGAGGTGATGACCCACAGGAGGGCTCCACATCAGATGCGTCTAAACTTTGTAAAGCTGTGTAAAGAGCTCATTTGCCACTGGTGTTGACCCACAGGGGACGACGCGTTGGGAGAAGGCTAAAACTTTGTAGAGCTTAGGAGAGAACACAGCTTCCGAGACGATGACCCACAGCGGACTCCGCATCAGATTCGTCTAAGCTTTGTAAAGCTGTGTGAAGAGCTCATCTGCCACCGATACGTTGACCCACAGGGGACGACGTGTTGGGAGATGGCTAAAGCTTTGTAAAGCTTAGGAAGGAACGCAGTTTCCGAGGCGATGACCCACAGGGGGGCTCCGCATCAGATGCGTATAAGCTTTGTAAAGCTGTGTGAAGAGCTCATCTGCCACCGATGCATTGACCTATAGGGAACGACACGTTGGGAGACGGCTAAAGCTTTATAAAGCTTAGAAGGGAACGCAGCTTCCGAAGCGATAACCCATAGGGGGGCTCCGAATCAGATGCGTCTAAGCTTTCTAAAGCTGTGTGAAGAGTTCGATCTTAGGCGGGTATTTCTGACTTTAAATGATTAGACAGCTGTTGCATATTTTCAAGGCGACAGTTGGGCGCGATGTCCATTCCTAGAAAAGGCTATTGCGGCTACT